AGGTGTTTCTGCATGTTGGATGTATTTCCTCCTGCAGATGTTATTGCAACTTTGCAATGATTGCAAAGCGCCTTGTTGCCATCTTTGTCTTCCTTCCAAACTTTCAGTCGCTTTGACTGTTTTTGTTTTGCTTTTCTAGACTTAGGCCAGGTCACATCGTTCTTGCTTACTGAACGCCGTTTGCGTAACTTGCGTAAAAAACTTGAAATAAGTCATGCTGCCCAGCGCTAGGCTCTGGTGCTGCCTGGAATCGATAAGATAATCGTTAAGCGAGCTGTGAAACGGTGCCATGGAATCGGAACACACGGAACCGGTTCTGAACAGGAAGCAGTTTTTGATTCCCATCTCTAATGACCACTGATCTCTATGGCTATGACACATATTTTCGTTGAAAGAAATGTTTACATTTAATAAATCTATGTATTATCAAACGTATACAGCATTAGAAAACATAATGAACGTTTGTTTGACGACCTGCACACCATATTAAAATAAACAAAACAAAAAAAGTCTTATTTTTTTTGTAATGATTTTTGGTGCAGGTCATATGTTTTTGATCTGTAGTAGTGTCAGCTTTTAGAGAGCTTGTTAAATCCTGAAACATTTTCACTTTGTTTCTACTCCATCATCTTCTTCTTCCAGGTGTTTCTTCATAGCCCAGTCTTATGTTCTGGTGAAGAAGTGGAGCGAGGCGCTGGTTCTGTATGAGAGGGTGCTGAAATATGCCAAGGAGGTCCAGTCCAAAGCCAAGAATCTGAACAATAGCCTGAAGGTTTGTGTCGGCGTGTTCCTTCATGACCAAATGTTTGCTTTCTGCATCCGTTTATAACCGTCCCGATGTGTGCAGGATCTCCCTGATGTCCAGGAGCTCATCGCTGAGGTCAACGCTGAGAAGTACTCGCTTCAGGCCGCCGCTATTCTGGGTGTGTTTAGGGGGAATTTAACACGCTGATTCATATTGTCTGGGTTTCTTTGATCCTGAGAGATGTTGTTCTGTTTCAGACACTGATGAAACGCCTGAAGTAAACTCTCAGCAGCAGGTGAAAGACAACAGGGTAAGAAGACAGCTGTGAATTTCACACTGTTAGGAGGAAATTGGTCTCAGTTGGAGGCTGATCCTGTTAGATTTTAAACTGCTGGACAACGCTAAACTTTTAGCCAAAAATGTAACCCAACAGTTTGGATCAGAGCATAGTCACATGTTAAAAAGGCCAAAAATAAGCTAGCCTATAATCCAGTTTAGCTAGCCTATGGCTGTGGAGACAGAGGTTAACATCTCCAAAGAAGCAGAGAGAGCTCGGCCTGCTCTTCCCCTCTGCAGCTACATATTTGTTTAAAAGTCTTAAAGTCCGGTCAGCAAGGACTAATCAATGGATCAGAGCATAGTCGTGTCCCTCCGATACTTTTTCACGGTGGTTTTCTCAGGAAGACGGTGTTAATTTTCTTATTATCTAAAGATTAAAAAAGCTGTGTTCTCATCATAATGAGATGATTGGCGGGTGTTAAAACTAATTCCATCCAATACCAAATCAGTGGGAGATGATTATAAATCATGGCAGCCTATGTGCCAATCTGTAAATAATCCAGTGTTTAACTTTTAGGTAAAGAGGCGACGTTGTTGGTTGGATGATTTTCTTCCACTTCTGTTTTATAAGCATTTAGTGCCGCGTGTTTTCTGAACATCCTCGGTGTTCTGTTGGTTGAGAATACCTCGTCAGACCAGCATACCCATAGTCAATATTTATATGCAAGACGTCGGGTTTGCATTTATCCTTTTAGTTTTGTATGAAAAACAGACTTTAAACTACCTCAACGGGCGTGTATCCCATTAGTCATATACAAAAAAAATACAGTTTAGATCGCCATATGCTTCAAAAAACACCCAAAATAACTGTTGTTTTTCTACATGTCTAAAGGGATACTCGCCCATTGAGGTAGTAAACTAAAGGGATAAACAGGTATTGACTCTGTATGCTGGTCTGACAGAACAACGGTGTTATGCCTGGAACAGATATAAGATGCATTAACCCCCAAAATGAGTCAAGATTAAAGTTTTTCAATAAAACAGTCTAATTTCTTTCTACTGAATTCCATACATTCCAATGGAAAACCACCGCGATCTGACAATGAGCGAAAAGAAAAAAGAAACAAAAAAAACAGATTATTTGCACACATGCAGTACTGCGACTGCAAAACTATGTTCCCAGCAGGAATAGATGGACTGGGACTCCAGCGCTGTTGGTCAGCCTCATTCATTACTCAGACAGGTTAATCATCTCTATCTCTAGAAATCAATAAGTTTTATCCCGAGAAAACAATTAATGGTTTAACTCCGATAGCGAGAAAGTTATGTCATTATATCCAGAAGGCAAAGGAAAAAAAAGTTTAGTATGATCGCTCTCGGCTTCTGCACCGATGTAACACTGTTATGTAGAAAAATGCATACCAGCAAATATTTGCATACGCTGCTGTGGGAACGCCCAGTGCTCATAACCACACATTGATGAAGAAAACGGGTTAAAACATGACGGGACAGAGCTACCTTTAACTATCATTGGGATAGCAACACGTTGCTCATCTGTAAATGAACAAACAGCTGCTGTTGCTCAACAGATTAATCCAACTTTTTAAAAATGAACATATTTGAATGAAATGTTATAAATTCAGAGTGTCTCCAGAACATGTTCTCCTCTCTGCGGCTCACATTCCTCACATTTCCACCAGCAGAACAGTGAAGGCTTCACTGAGGAGTTAAAGTGGTGCATGAAGGACACGCAGGAAAGTGAGAGTAGATTTAGTTTGTTACAGACGTTATAGAATAAAATGTATTAAAGCCGCTAGAGGGAGGCGGATGTAATTCGCTTTTAAACAAGTTGAAGTCGCAGAGTTAGAAGTTATTGTTGCAACTTGGACGTTTTTGCTTTATTCATCAAGCAACTTATGCTTGATGTTATTTCAGAGCCTGGTTGTGTCCAGAAGTAGTTGCTAATATTTGTTGTTGTTGCGGCCCATTAAAATGTTTAGGTCAGGGGTCGGCAACCTTTAACACCAAAAGAGCCATTTGATCCGGTTTCCAAAGAAAAGAAAACACTGGGAGCCGCAAATACTTTATGACATCTAAAATGAATTTATTTATGAATGCATTTATTAAATGGAAATAACAAATATTTAAAAAAACAACAACTTCCCTTTCATGCTTCGGGGTTCACCCCAGCCGTACAGAACACTTATTAGTGCTTAGACTACCCTTTTGAAGATGGGCTATCATCTTATCTAAAATGAAGATAACACTGTTTATATTGCTTTTTCTTACCTTTACACTTTATATAAACAACTAAAGTGTGTTGCTTATGAAATCTACGGAAGAGGATTAGGGCCAGTGTAAAAAAAAAAAAAGAAAAGTTAACTGATTTTTAAATTTTATTTCAGTTTAGTATGGGGGGAAAAGAATTGACTTTTTTTCTCAGATTTCTGACTTTTTTACTCAGATTTCTGACTTTAATCTTAGAATTCTGACTGAATTCTGACAATAAAAAAAGTCAGAATTCTGACTTTTTTTCCATGTTAAACGGAAATAAAATTAAAAAATCAGTTAACTTTTTTTTTTCAGTGGCCCTAATCCTCTTCCGTAGAAATCCACGAAGTGCTACAGAGAACATTTTATTTTATCTAATGAACACATTTCAGTCTGGAGACTCTCCGTTAAAGAAAATTTGCAGCTGTTTACCAAACGAACGTCCAATCAGCGTTGGCTTTGAGGCGGGTTGAGGTGTGACGCAACGAGAAGCGCGACAGTTCAGTCTAAAGAACATGGTGGCTTCAGCCGATGAAACTAGCGTTAGCGTGGCTATCGAGCAAGTTTTATCGGAATTACAGAGTATTTCTTCACTGAAAGAAGAGCAAAACACTGCTCTGGAGGCTTTTCTCAGAGGAAAAGATGTTTTTGCTCTTCTCCCGACTGGTTTCAGCAAGAGTTTGATCTATCAATTGGCTCCTCTTCGTCGTCGCTCTGTTAGTACGTCATATGCTTCGTTGATCTGATTGGTTTATTTGGCCCGTCTATCACCAACATAGGCCAATCAGCTAACCAGTATTTTCACCCCTTCCCAAAATTACTTCAACGGAAGGTTTCCAGATGGATATGCGGAGCAAATTCATCTGGTGGAGTCAGGTTATAATTATCTGGCAGTCTGTAATAAACTGTGTGTGCTTCTCCTCAGCCTCTGTGTGAGCACCTGGACAACTTCCACCTGGACAAGACTCTGGTTGGAAAACACCCCAGTCTGGTCCAGTTCCCGCCCGAGTTCCAGCCCATCCCCTGCAAGCCTCTGTTCTTCGACCTTGCCCTCAACCACGTGGCCTTCCCACCGCTGGACGACAAGGTGGAGCAAAAGGGCAAAGGCGGCCTGACCGGCTACATCAAGGGCATCTTCGGCTTTGGCAGCTAAGCTAAAGCCCCGAACAAGAAGCCAACAAAGGCCCCGCCCCCTCCAAGCTGATCAAAAACGTGCCTATTTCTGAAAATCGGTGGCGTCTGCAGTCTTTAGGAGAGAATCAAATCTGCATCAAGTAGCAATATGACCCATCTCCACCTGGAGCCTGTAATCCCATCAGAGCCAGTAATCTAGTTAGAAGCTTCTAGATTTAAAGGCTTAAGACTCAAAATATTCAGATTCAACAGATAATTGAACATGAACTTCACTTTCTTAGGTCCTGTAAAGAATCTGTTTGCAGTTTGATTTCTTACATCAGAGACGATTTCTGCGACTTTTAAAGGAGTTGTTGCTCAATCATAGCATTGAAGGTCTGAAACAGTCCAAGCTATAAAACTTGAACATATCCACTCTGAGCTTCTCTGTTTCCTTGGACACAATTATGACTCAGAACCAGGCAGATTTTCCTCATATGCTCTTTATTGTAGACCTCTAATTAAACAAATATTTTATCCAACAAAATGTATGAGTTTAAATATGAAAGATTTCTTTTTTTCTTTTTAGTAACTTCTGCCGCTTTGCTCCTGATTCCCTTCTGTCCATTCAGTTAAGCCCAGACGTAGATGGATCTAATCTAGAGTCGTATTAATCAGCTGATTATGTTGAACATTTCAATTCACGGCCCTTTAGTTCACTTTATGAAATAAACTGGTTATTTGGTTCCTGGCGTCAGTCTGAGGATCCCGACCGTAATTATCAGGGCCGACGCTCCTGCTGTAGTATTTTTTTTATCTACAGGAACTGTAGGAACAACGTTAAGCCATTGAGGAAGGTTTTATCAGCCTGTCCTTCATCACACAGCCACACCTCCTGGGTTTAATGTTTTTACAACATGAATAACATGTCTGGAAGTTCAGCAATGTTCCAAACAGCTACAGATTGTTTTGGAAGCATGGATAGAACCAGCTAATCTCACCTGGACCTGGTTTCCTCTGATGGTTTAGAGGAATTTTTAAATGTCCCACAAACACAAACTGCTGTTTTTTTCTTTTATGGTTTGTATTTAAGAATTAAGATGGACTCAGCTTGGAAGAGTCTCGGTATCGATGATTGTTGGAAACATCCATGAAGATAATGGAAACTGTTTTCATCGACTCCTCAGTCCCGTGATTAAAATGTATTGGCACAGAAAATCTGTTTCCTGCTGCTCTTCTTTCACGTCTTTCGGCCATTTTTGAGATGCAATTGGTATAAAAGTCTGCAAACCTGTTGAAGTTCATGTTATTCATTAAAAAAAATATATAATTGGCTTTTTAAAATTAAGCACAATATAAAGCTTGTTATAAGAATGAGAACAATCACTGATCGTTTGATTCAGTTTATTTCTATAGTGCCAATTCATAACACGTCATCTCAAGGCACTTTCCAGTTCACCAGATCATCCAGTCAGATTCATTTAAAGTTTTCTGTCTAAGGAAAACCAGCTGATTGCATCGACTTGAAGGCAATCCCTCACACTAAGCATGCTTGTAGCGACAGTAGAGAGGAAACACTCAAATTGAACAGGAAGAAACCTCCAGCAGAACCGGACTGTGTGGGCGGCCATCTGCTGAGGCCGACTGGGGTTCAAAGAGACAGAAGCAGAGATAGAAAAGCAGCTGTAGACGAGCTCCGAGCCAGCTCCCATGTCAGAGGATGAAGAGAGCACATCCAGTTAGACACAGTCAGAGAAACAGGACTACACTGGAAAACAGGCCAATCTCCAACATCTAGAAACAAAGGTGTTGACAAGAAGAGAGGGACAAAACGATGTCTGTTCGATTAAATCATGTGTTGTCTTCTCTATTCAGAGGGCCCCCTGCATGCCTTTGCCTAGGGCCCCAAATTTCCTAAATCCGCCCCTGAGTTACAGTAGAATTGTGTCAAAGTTCAAAACCTGGCATTAAATATCATGTTACTGGTAGGAATTTTTTTTATCCCCAAAAGGAAAACACCACATCAAACAGTTTGCAAACCTGTAGAAAATGTTTTTAAAGCAACTTTAATTAATTAAAAAAAAAAAAAGCCTGTATCATCAAAACAGCATGTAAAGAATTCAGGGATGACTCAGTGCCTTTGGTGATCAGATGGTTTGATTCATAAGTACTCTATTTGTGAAGGTAGGCGTGTCACTCTGTGAACCTCTGTGGGGGGGGGTGTGCCTATTGGCAGATACCTGAGCAGGGTGTGAGAGTGTCGTCGTTTACATTTTTTACATGAATGTTTTTTAAATTAAATACAGAACTATGTTGCCTTTAACCCTAAGGCTCTAAAACATATTTATTAAAACCAAAGTTTTTCAACCAGCTGACCCCCCCCACCCCCCAACAGGTTCCATCTCTGCATGTTTTTTGTCATATGGAGACATTATTGTGAAACCAAAACACTGAGGTGTGAAACCTGAATGGAAATATCTTTGCTCTAATGGCATTGCTCATCAATCACATAGTTTAAAACTTGTCACACATTATGATTCATTTACATTACAGCTTTGTTATCTAGAAAACAAATGAAGAAACTGTTACTTAAAAGTTGCTCCTCTATTAGCTGTTAGTTTGATGAGTGGAAACATAAATAAAAAAGGTGTAAATTCCTCCTGACATCAGATAAGCTCTGGGAAACTTTCAGCCATGTAGGGCATTTTTTTAGTGACACACCCTCATTTTGTTTCTGTCTTTTCTTTCCCGACCCAATCAATGTTTGGAATTTGGATACTTTCGAACACTGTTCCATAAAGATGAAGGTTTAATCTTCAGCATCTTTGGGATTTCTGCATTAATATTCTTCATCTGGTCTTTATAGCTCAATAGAATCTGACTGAGTTAGACACAATTTACAGCGATATCGACCAAACAGGAACTAATTAGATAGAAAATTGACCTTTATCCTTTAATGCTATGACTTTAAAGCTTATTCTGCTTGATTTAGACTGAGATGGAATTTATAATGCCCCTTAAATGTATTATTAAAACCTAACTGACCAAATGTAGTTAAAATAGCAGGTGCATAGTTTACATTTGTTTAGGGTTTTTTTCTAACTACTACAGGGTCAGAATTAAAAATCCACACCTCGATATATTATCAGAATTAATATACACTCACCGGCCACTTTATTAGGTATACCTGTCCAACTGCTCGTTAACACTTAATTTCTAAGCATCCAATCACATGGCGGCAACTCAGTGCATTTAGGCATGTAGACATGGTCAAGACAATCTCCTGCAGTTCAAAGCGAGCATCAGTAGGGGGAAGAAAGGTGATTTGAGTGACTTTGAACGTGGCATGATTGTTGGTGCCAGAAGGGCTGGTCTGAGTATTTCAGAAACTGCTGATCTA